GGATGTGGAAAACATGGAGAGGGTCCAGAGAGGCCACTTGCATGATTGGGGGCAGCAGGGCAGGCCCTACGAGGAGAGGCTGCGGGACCTGAACCTGTTCAGCCTCCACAAGAGAAGGCCGAGGGGGGATCTAGTGGCCTGTTACAAACTAGTCAGAGGGGACCAGCAGGTATTGGGGGAGTCCCTGTTCCCCCGAGCACTACCAGGAGTTACCAGGAATAACGGTCACAAGCTGGCAGAGGGTAGATTCAGGCTAGATATCAGGAGGCGCGACTTCACTGTCAGGGCGGCTAGGATCTGGGACCAACTTCCAAGCGAAGTGGTGCTGGCTCCTACCCTGGGGGGCTTTAGGACAAGGCTAGACAATCACCTTGCTGGGGTCGTTTGCCCCCAGTACTCTTTCCTGCCATGGCTGGCAGGGGGTCGGACTTGATGATCTGCTCGGGTCCCTTCTGACCCGACCAACTATGAAACTAACCAGTCTGTCATTGGGCAGACGTGAGTTAACCATCTCTCTCTGAGTAGGCTGTAATATTTACTCCACTAGGCTACATTGCCTGTAACACTCTTGAGGTCTATGGGTGTAAGTTGCTGCGGGAGGTCAGTGCTGAGAAGAATTGAAATGCTTGGTCACCAGATTTCCATTGAAATGCAGCAAGATAAACAATGAGTCAGAGAAATAATGGGCTTAACTGGCATATTGGGGCCCTCCATGGATCAGCTGGCAGAAAAAATCAAGAGACAGAATTGTTTCCCAAGTATATTTAACTCTCTGTTCTAGTGCTGTTGCACACAGCAACTGCCAATGGCTTCCAGATGGTTACCAGCGGGGCTCAGAGCAAAGCTGTCAGCGACTGGCTCATAACCAGTGTGGAGGTGAGTTCTCATGATTTGGGAGTGGGGTCTAGGCTAGTGGATAGCTATAGGAAAGCTCCTTCACTGGTGACCAGGCAGTGCGTACCTGGGGATCAAAAAGGTAAAGCTGCCTGAGGGTTACAAGAGAGAAACAGAATCTCAGTTGCATAGTAGAGGTGGGTTTTGTATCTTCCCGGCAGCTGAATCCAGAAAGCAGGTTAAGGGCACGGTGCTTGAAGGCAGTGGGAGGAGGGTTTGGTGCTGAGGCTGTTTGAGACTGAGTGGGTGGTGGATTTGGGGGGGAGAGGGGAGAAGTAAGCTGTGCTGCTATAAAGGCAGTGAAGAACTGCAGGGTAATGCTTCTCTCTGGCTTCTGCAGGGGAGGCTGACTGGGCTGGGAGGAGAGGACCTGCCCACCATTGTGATAGTGGCCCATTACGACTCTTTTGGCGTGGCTCCGGTAAATATTTTTTTCCCCTCCCCCTTGTCCCTGTTGTGCCGAGGAGGAGGAAGCTTGTGTGCTTTACCCGTTAGGCTTGCGTTGGTGCTTCTCTGAGCAGGCAGGGGAGTGCACTTTGTCAGTTCTGTCTTTGTCTCCCCAGTGGCTGTCTCACGGTGCAGACTCCAATGCCAGCGGCATCTCTGTGCTTCTGGAGCTCGCCAGGCTCTTTTCTCGGCTCTACACCTACAAACGTACCCATGCGGGGTAAGGTGCTGCTGTCTGGGTCCCAGAACGTGGGGTTGGAGTTGGCCAGTGGTACCTGCAGGGTTGGAGATCTTTTGCAAGGGAAACCCCCTTAACACAGTCGGTGCAGACAGGGTTAGAGCAGCAGCCTGTGTGTGTGTACCACGAATCCTGCCATGAAACAGAACTGCACCTTCTTCCCCAACAGGGTCTTTGCCCTTCATTTCCGTGCAGTGGTTTAATTCATGCTTGGTGAGTGGGAGACTCAAACAGAATAAGGATAGCATAAGAGTCAGGAAGTCGTGTGTTGTAAACCCTGCTCTGTCACTGTTTTACACTGTGATCAGTAGTGAATCCCTTAATCTCTGTGGCTGTTCCCTATCAATTCAGCAAAGCTAATGACTCTTCCCAACTTCACGAGGTTGTTGAGCGCCTGGATTAGTTAATGTCCGTACAGATCTTTGGAAACGCAAAAGACACAGAAGCACCAAGCATACAGCGTTCCAGCAGGCATTTCCTTGCCTTGTGTTAGCATGTGGGTGACGTTCTATTCCTGTCTGGATATTACACTCAAGTGTGTCTGGTACACGAAGTGAAAACCATCGTGACTTCACCCTTGGATGCTAACAGAAGGCAGCTCCTATTAATGAGCCATCGTTAGTCTGGGAATCATTTTGGATTCCATGTGTGGTTCTGAGTACTCCCTGAGAAGGTTGTTTCTATGCCCAGTAAATCAGTGCGACTGACTCACTTTTCCCCGTTTCTTGGTGCACAGGTATAATCTGCTGTTCTTCGCATCTGGAGGTGGCAAGTTTAACTATCAGGGAACCAAGAGGTGGTTAGAAGACAACTTGGATCACACAGGTTTGAGAGATGGGAAGGGATGGGTGTGTGGGATCACTCTGTAGGCTTTGCTGAGTAGAGCAACTTAGTATCGTAGAAAACGGGCGTTAGAAGGGACCTCAGGAGGTCACATCAGGCCCTTGCTCAAAGCAGGACCATCCCCAAATAGATCACCCCAGCCAAGGCTTTGTCTTTCCAGGTCTTAAAAACCTCTAAGGATGGAGATTCCACCACTTCTCTGGGTAACCTGTTCCAGTGCTTTGCTACCCTCCTAGTGAGAGTTTTTTTCCGAATATCCAACCTCAACTTCCCTTGCCACATCTGGAGCCCATTGCTCCTTGTCCTGTCATCTGCCCCCACTGAGAGCAGTCCAGCTTCATCCTCTTTGGAACCCCCTGCAGGGAATTGAAGGCTGCTATTCAATCCCCCCTCAGTCTTCTCTTCTTCTACGAGAACCTCCACTCCTTGTGCTGTGATTAAAATCACCACCCCCTTCCGTTCCCCAGTTAACTTCCATGGCTATAATGCTGTTTGCAGGCCGGCGGTTAGCTCACTGGGTCCTGTCTCACTTCAGAGTCTGCCTCTCTCACGGCTATATGACTGAGGTAAAAATAAGATGTCTAGCTTTGGATTAGCACTTTGCGGTGAGCTCCTCCAGTAAATGCCACCCTTCCAAGGTGCGTTGTGCACTTGCTTCTCTGAGTGTAAAAGGGAATCCTGAGCTGGTGGTTGTAGCATGACTTGGAGTCAGGAGATCTGGTCTCTTCCTTGGGCCAGTCTTTTCACTCTCTGTTCCTTAGTTTCCCCTTCTAAAATGAGGATGCTGCCATTAAACTGTTGCAACAGAATTGGGCAACTTAATGCACGTGTAAAATACTTTGAGCTCGTTTAGGTGAAAGGTGCCATTAATGCCAAGCATTGTTACAGGAAAGTCATCTTTCCAGTTGGGTAGGATTTTATCGTCTGCCCAACCACACCAACCTACTGTGTTAAGGCACAGCACAGTCTCTTTCCATGCTGTCTGAATTGCTGCTGCTGTAGAGAAGGGAACGAGAAGCATACTGAACTCTTTACTTTGATTCACTAATATGCAAGTCACGCTGGGAGACTGCCTCTCCATATGTCCTGCAGATGTTTCTGGTCCCCAGAGTACAGACTCAGGGGTTTGGCTTGGTCTGTTTCAGATTCCAGCCTGCTCCAAGACAACGTTGCATTTGTTCTTTGTCTCGACACCCTGGGCCGAGGGAACAGTCTTCACCTCCATGTTTCAAAGCCTCCCAAGGAGGGGACCCTGCAGCATGCGTTTCTGAGGGAGCTGGAGATGGTAACACATTGGGCCCATTGGGTTGGGCTGGCTGAATGCATGTTTCCTGGGAGAAAGCCTGGGGGTGACATGCCGTGGGGAGCTGTTTTGCTTCCATGATGTAGTGTGTGTACCTAAAGGTGCTGAGGGGGAGCAGTTTTGATGTAGTCCTAGGCTCTTATTTCTGGTAGACTTGATCAGAGCAAAGAGTCCTCCATGGTTTAGGAATCCAGAGTGGACCAGACTGGATCAGTTACCTTCCCCTAGAGCTTCCCTATAGAGCCTCTTGCTTGTAAGAACCTGTTATAGTTGGCTCCTTTGCCAGATGGCAGCCTTGGTCACGTGGCTACCATAAAACATCACATAGATATTAAGAGCCAGAATTCGAGGGTTGTGACTTATGTTAGAGTCCTTATTTTCCAGGTGCCTCTGCCTTCACCGGCCCCTCCTGGCAGACTGTTGGCACAAATTTTTACCCCTTTTCTTTGAATGGAGGAGGAAGTGTTTCCATTACAAGTGCCAGTTCTGGTTTGGAGAGGGAGGGGCGGGGATGTACTTGGAAACAATGGGACTCCTATTCCCTGGGCATCATTCTTCTCGGTTGGTGGACGTTTCCCACAGGTGGTTGCCAGCCAGTTCTCTGAAGTACAGTTCTCCATGGTGCACAAGAAAATCAACTTGGCTGACGACATGCTGGCGTGGGAGCATGAGCGCTTTGCCATCCGCCGCCTGCCTGCCTTCACTGTCTCACACCTGGAAAGTCACCGGGACAGTCTGCGCAACAGTATCATGGATGTGAGGTCAGTGACTGGGAGCGTCAGGAGTGGGCTATGGTGATTGATCAGTTGTTGAATGGACATGGGAACTTAGCGAAGGGTTCTCTGGTGTCGTACCTTTACCAAGTCCTCTCTGTGCACCTGGAGCAGTGGAAGAAACCAGCACAGAGTTTCATAGTTTGTAGGGTCGGACGGGGCCTGAGCAGATCATCAAGTCCGTCCCCCTGCCACGGCAGGAAAGAGTACTGGGGTCAGATGACCCAAGCAAGGTGATTGTCTAGTCTTGTCTTAAAGACCCCCAGGGTAGGAGCCAGCACCACTTCGCTTGGAAGTTGGTTCCAGATCCTAGCTGGCCTGACTGTGAAGTAGTGCCTCCTGATATCTCGTCTGAATCTACCCTCTGCCAGCTTGTGACCGTCATTCCTGGTCACTTCTGGTAGCGCTCGGGGGAGCAGGGACTCCCCCAGTGCTTTCTGGTCCCCTCTGACTAGTTTGTAACAGGCCACTAGATCCCCCTCAGCCTTCTCTTGTGGAGGCTGAACAGGTTCAGGTCCCGTAGCTTCTCGTCGTAGGGCCTGCCCTGCTGCCCCCTGATCATGCGAGTGGCCTCCTCTGGACCCTCTCCATGTTTTCCACATCCCTCCTGAAGTGCGGCACCCAGAACTGGACACAGTACTCCAGCTGTGGCCTGACCAGTGCCGCATAGAGGGGGAGGATCACCTCCTTGGACCTGCTCGAGATGCATCTGTGGATGCACGACAAGGTGCAGTTGGCCTTCCTAGCC